ATAGTATTAAGTACAGTAAAGTTTAGTCCTAACTAAACTAAAGTAAAAAAAAAAACAATACACAGGTTACAGTGTTAATTTATCTCTTTACCGAAATTAGGCCTAACATAATTTATAGTTTTATAAAGTACGGCCTATTTCATTGTCTACGATTATAATTCATTTGTATTTTACTAGAAATGTTATATTTAAAGAAGTAGTGTTACGATAAAGATACTAATTATTTATATATATATAGTTATACAACAACAGTGAAGTTCTACATTTAACACTCAGAAATCTATATACACTCGAACAGAGAACTATTCAAAAGTAGCATTAAATTACCTTGGGGAAAATATTTTTCTGCCCTTGCTTTTCACTGCTTTGATGGGTCACATTTCTTGAAGAAGAATTGTTGTTTAGCGAGTTTGGAAACACTAAAACAGCCTGAGTGAAAAAAACAAAAATTCTAACTCAAAGTGTTAGTGTAATGTCATATAATCACACTGATAATGCAAGACACTTTGAGGCTACTACATATATCTAAGTTCATATATCAAATAAATTATGCAGGTTTGTACAAGATTCTCTGGGCAAAATACCAGCTAAACAATTGTAGCATATCACAAAGTTATATTGAACCCATCACACGATGGCCGCAGATACAAGTGAAAGAACATGAAAATCTAAGTACAACAAACAGATCACGTGTCTTCGAACATGCATCAGTAATCTATCAAATGGTAATTATCAAAAGGCTTAACTAAGGTCAATGATAAAAAACTCATTATAAAAGAGTTTGCTCACTCACATGCAGAGACTATAATTAAGCAAAGTCAGTAGAGAATACATATTTTTGCTTATGTTGCAAAAGTGATATTTGACTGAATACACCCTAATATCAAGATTAAGTATTATGGTATGTATATATATGGTATTAAGTATTATGGTACATGATCAGATCATTTTATGTTTTATAGAGTAATTTGTGCACTGCATAGTAAAAACATATCCAGTGAGGAACACAAACAACCAAAAATTAATTGCGTTGACCAATAATTACTCGAAGAGAAAAATAGGCGTATTGAACAATTAATATTAACACTGCTTAATTAAAATATGATTTTACAAAAGTTATCCATGTTGACATGGAAAGATAAATACTGCACATTACATACAATGCTAAGTTTACTGCAACCAGTCCAGTAAATAAGGTTTTTTTAACCACTGAGAAATCCTCCCATTTTTTTTACCATAGCTTAGAACCATTCTCAAGACTAGACACATGAAAGAAACTACAAACATAAATCCAAATATATACATCACATTTATTATGGTTCAGTTTTCCTATGAAGTAAGCATATATTTCAACTTGTTTGGGAACCCAAGTGTGATATATAGAATGGAAAATGGCTTATAACAGTTCATTTATATATATATATATATATATGTGTGTGTGTGTGTGTGTGTGTGTGTGTGTGTG